ATATTGTGCCAGGGTCCAGTTACGTTCGGTTGGCAGGCAAACATATATCCGGCGTCCACAAGGTGCAATATCACAGACGTTGTGATACCAACACACGCCAGCAAATGTACGAGCATTTAGCTGATGTTCCGAAGTGCTATTCGTGAACTGCTGGGATTTACCTTAAAGTATTATGCACAAAAGTATTCAGTCATTATACCCACTATCCATATATGAACATCCGCCTGAAACCTTACTTACGCCTTCTGGCATGAAAGGGACTGAACACTTACCCAGCAGCGGTACCCTTGAAAGTCAAGATCGCTAAACCTACACGGAAAGGTTTATCATTATGGCCTCAAAATTTCCTCAGAAATATGTCGCTAAACTGGAGGAAATTTAAACTGAATTTAGTTAGTAGTTTTGACCCGAAGTAGGCCTCTTTTTGTTTAAGACGCCGCTGAAGTTTTTGCGGTAATGTGGACCTATAATAATCACATTCGACTTAGACAAAACGTTCATCAGGAAACCATACTGGAAAAAGGCGATTGGTTGCCGTGCCCGGAGGTTATCTGATCAAATGGCGGTCGGTAGGTAACGCTAGAGTTAATATGCCTGTCGCTATTCCTCGATATGCCTTTTTGCCGAAAAAACCGGCATACACCATACGAATACGGACTGACGGTCTCAACTCTGCCGTCATTCTTTGTAATATTTCAATCCACCACATGCTTTTTGACTTGACGGTAAGAACACGGCCGTTCGTAAGTATAGGGGAGATTTCGCTAATTTGTAGTCCTGGTTCAAAGAACGAATTTTGATTAAGAGTCCCATTGAATTGTCAAGCGGAGAATGTCGAGATCAATATGTCTCCGTCTGCAATTCATCTGCATTAGCTTTAGCAGCCTTTTTTCCAGAAAGTCGGTTTTTGATAGAATACATCTCGTCGACATAGGTATCCTTGAATTTTTGTGACCAGGAGGTATGCAGTTTTTTGAAAGGTAGATTGCCCATGACCAAAGTAAGCTTTATGTACACTTCAGCTCAATATTATTTATTCAGACTACACAAACGTAACAAGGTCAAATCAGAGAATATGATGAAGAACTAACAGTAGCCTAGCAAATTATGACGGCAAATGTTTTACACAAAACATCTGCCTTACTTTTGACCGTCGTGATGCTTTTCTCTTCTTTCAAACAAAAGGCAACTGATGAACGTCAGCTCCAGAGTTGAATTTTCGGTGTTTTCTGTCCTATATGCTGCCCCGAGAATTCCTCAAGTGCATTCTTGTCTTCCTTTGGGTCTATTATTCGGAACAAAATCTATCGTCGAGTCGCAAATGAATCAGTTTGGTCACAGGGTTATTCTCATGCGGCGCATTCCGGCACCAAATTCAATTTTCTTGAATACTGATGCAAGGGAGAGGCTGTGAATGATGTACCCTGCAAAATCAGATGATCAAAATCAAGATAATTACTTTTAAGCACCTAGAGGGTTGTCTGTGCTGCTTATCGGCTTGGCACTCTGCGAATGACGTTTTTATCATAAAGAATGTGCTTTGACGTCATTGTATGCGCATAGCATATGCGGGTGGATATTTGCGCTAACTTATACTCAGGCGTTTTCATTCGTGATAACTCCTTTAGGCTATATATTCGAATTTACAGTGGATGTGCTAACTTATGAAAGTTTGACCGAAATCCAGAAATGCGTTTTCGACTCGAAAAACTTCTCTGCAGCATAATCCTACAATAATTCGATCAATACAAGATGCCTGCATTTGAACGAGCTTGTTTTCGTCCGTCTGAAAAAAACACTCTGACAATACGGACCGCTTAATTTGCACACATTTTTCACACTGACTTTCGATGCTTTTATAACTTTAAATAAGCATCATAAAAAGCGTGCAAAAAATGTTCATTTTCTCACGATTTTGGTAGAAAATTACGTCTTTTTTAATTTGTTTCATGAAGGAAGCTTATCGTTCAGTTTTTAAAAAAGCCTCTGGCTATGGGAATTTTTAAGAACTTTCAATGCGCGTTCATAAAACATCGTGTCTCCGAATTCGTAAATATTGCTTGTTAAGTTTACGGTATGTCTCAAATCCACTTTTATGATCTACAAATTCCATATTGTTATCGAAGAATGCCGTATGTATGATTTTCCGTAAAAGGAAAATATATCGCTTGTAGTTTGGAAACTCTGAATGCAATTGCAACGCACGTAAGGTTCAAAATTGTCCGAGAATTGGAAAAGTTTTTAAAACTCATTTTAAAGGACGCAGTTTTCTACAAAATGAGGAAGAAATTGAATATTTCATGCACGCTTTTTATGAGATATGATAACATTTATAAGAACATCGAAAATCAGTGAGAAAGATTCATGCTAATTAAGTAATGATTTTTCCAGAGCAGTGTTTTTTTCAGACGACCGGAAAAAGTTCGTTCAAAAGCCGGCTTCCTTTAGTAACTGATTTATTATAGGATTACGCTGCGTGGTGGTTAATATTACAGCCTTTCTTAAGAAATATTTTCGGGTCGAGAACGCATTTCTAAATTTCGGTTTATCTTTCACGAGTTAGCAGCTATAATATTTGTAAATGTCTGGTAAAAGACATTAATCCACATGGGGAAAAGATACAAAAACGACCGTAACCGATGTAAAATGTATCCTTCCCTAATGAATCAGGTGAGGAACGGTGTTTACAAGCGCCTTATATTTGAAGAAAAAGGGAGTTTCCCTTTTTTAAAGAACCGATCCGCATATGGGCAGAATTGAATATCCTTAAATGTAGCAATCATACCAACACGAAAACATATATTTTAGCCAACGTGTAATATCGGTACATATGCAAACATTACACGAGTGATGTTTATATATCTGGCCAGATGGTATGCACGTTTTGTGTGGTTGAGGTTCTGCTTAGCAAGGGGACTGGAACGGCTGTTCGTAAAATAGTTTCAGATTCATAAGGCCACTCTACAGTGCATTAGTGATCGTAGAACGTGGTCCATTGACAAGCGCATATAAAAGAAACGACTTCTATATACAGAGAAAAGATTAAGTTTTTGTTTGTAATAGAAATAGTTTCGCTATCTCTCAGGGCTGACAAATCACTCCGATTTTCCTCTGGGTCTGCCCTGGAAAAACTTGATTTAAGGAGTATACACGGAACATATCCATGAAAGATATTTGATTGACTGCTATCTTAAAAGTATTTTAGGACGTTTGACAAGGTTGTTCAATTTACCCAAATGTTTGTAAATACATGCAGATTATATATCTGTAAACCTTGTTTGTGTATTTGAAATGAGTGTCTGCGCTTTCGACGTTTATGTTGTTTTTGTACGAATTTTCATTTTTAATCAAAGCAATATTTTTTAAATAGGTCTTTTTTGGTGTGTTTAACTGAGTAAGAGTTCTTGGTTAACTCATCTGGGTCAGTTCTCTACCGATTAGAGACTGTTTGTAAATGTGTGCATATTTCATGAGAAGCGTCAACTGTTGTACGTTGCCAACGCTGACATTGCATTTAGCCTGTATATCGAACTAAAGTTAAAAGGCAGAAATATTTTGCTAACGTGCAAATCTGAATATCAGCAAACGGGCCTACCTCGTGGAATATCAATTTAAAGTTGAAAGTTTATTTTTCACCAGGAAGGACTACTTTGGAGGGATAATGACGATATCTTGTAACATAAGCCCAGAATATTTCAGTCGAGCTACGATGTTGGGTCTCGAATGGGCTTTTATTCAGCTGCTTGCGAAAATCACAACCGCTAAAATGACTACTTATATAGTATTATTTTTTCCCATTGATATTAAATTTCCTTTTGAATTTAAACGCATTTTGTAGAATATACAGACAAAAATATTTATAGGCATTTGGTAGCACATGTAGTCGTCTTCTAAGATTATACCTGAAGGAGTGATGGCTTCGTGTTTAAAAACGCCCGTGATTATAAGTTGTTTCATGCCAGGAAATGTCCATTATTGATTATTGACTATACAACACTTCCCGCATTTATTACAAAATGCTTTGAGTCCCATATGACATCTTCATCTTGGCAATGTAGAGAAATCTACGATTTTATCCCCAAGAAAACATACACAATGTGGATTATAAGCACTCGGCGCACCTGCACAAATGTGTCGTATTTAGAATCATTTTTAAGTTGTTAAAACCCTCCAAAATCTAAAGATACACTTCATTTTTTATGAAGTTCGTAGAAGACCTAAGCTGCTACAGAAGAAACACCTTTTATGCGGGCTTTCTTCAAAATGAATTTAAGCTCGGAGGGGCATCAAAGATCAGTGAGTAAAACCCATGCTACAAGGGTCATCGGTCTTTAACATGCGTCATTTTAACTGCGCCTACAAAGAGGCATATTTAAAATACGGCATCCTGGCAAGACTGGAACATCTTGGGGCTATGCTGAACAACGATTAGTACTACAACCCCACCTAGATATTACTATTTATCTGAAAACACATCAGCGATCGTAAAGTTTTACAACGAAACCAAATAAATAAAGCACTAAAAATAGGACATTAATTTTGCATTTAAAAAACGTAATGAATAAAATGCGGAAAGCACTTATAAATATCAAAATTAGTAGTCGTGGCGTTTTTTTAATTTGAAACCTGGAAATTAGGACCACCAAATCTGTCATGATTTAGGGTTTTCTCTAATGTTTTTACTGTATGCAAATAGGCTGTCTGGCATTTGACATCTAAAGCAACTTCGGCAGACATTAATTCGAGGGGCAAACGCCGACTAAACGGCCGCAGGAATCAACGGTGCGAAATAAGAGGAAACAGCGTGCGTGCTTTATATCAGAAAATGTTGACCTCAAAGTAGCAAATCGGGTTATAAGCGGTGAACGCTTTATTTCTACAATTGGCTGAATAAGCGCTCAGCGCATTGGTCAAAACTAATGTCAATTAACTATAAATAACATAAATGCACGAAAACCTCGCCAACACTTTGGAATTTGGCTTTCGCCACAAAGCCCAGCATGCTGACGACGAACATTTTAACTCCATTGTCCTTCTTCACGAAGCATCTCGGTTTGTTTAGCTGCCTTTGATTAAAAGCAGTGTTTCGTAAACTAGCGACTTATTTAATGAAATACGTTCTCATGGTTTAAGCAGCTCAACTATTCTACCTTGATGCAAATCAATTCTTGGTCTGTAAAAATGTACCGGATTGTAGGATGAATTTTAGGATATTTGCATGGACTGTTTGCACGTAGAAGAGCTAAAAGTGGCTGCTAGCGATCAAAGGTTCATTTTATTTTACTTTCTGAACGCTGTTGTAGGCCTTGCGTGGTCCGTAATAACATAAAAAAAATCCTAGGTCCTCTCCCAATGCACCATTTTGCAAATTCTGTCGCATGATATTTTAAATCTGTGTTGTTTTTAGGTGTCCTCGTCCTTTTACTAATAGTTCTTGGTCACGTTATGGCAGTTCCCACGGATCATCTTGAGGACGAGGAAGATGATGCCCGGCGTTTAGCTTTTGAGCTCTACAAGAGGGGAATTTTAAAAATGAGACTTGGAAAGCGCCAGTGGGGTCAATACACTGCCGGTGAGGAATCTAATTTTTAGCCGATTGGCCTAGCACCTGGTTATACCGTTGTGTACAACGGCACGTTTTATAGCTCACGCTCTAAAAAATGAATGTTTTGAAATTGCAATCGGAATGCCCACAGGGTGCTTCTATCATGGCTGAAAAAATAATTCCCTGATGTCACCTCGGTGTTCTTAAAAGTTAATTTAAAAGTTAAATTAAAAGTTAATTAAAAGTTAATTTCTTCAGGGGCTCTGAGTTATGGACTTGTTTGTAAAGTAAAGATTATTTGTCTATTGAAAGTCACTAAACCAAAATACCAATACTAACAGAAGTTACGGCGCTGATCATAATTACTTGAGTCTAATTTCTGAATAAATATTAAAGTAGAGAACTTTTCCCGCATACCATTCTGACAAAATATCAATTTACATTTTTCGGCCGATATAGAATGTGCACCTAAAACATAAAGGTTTGAGATATGTAAAACTAAACATGACAAAATGGGCTTTCAAACAAGCCGATAATTCTGTAACAGCTTAGCTGGTCAATGGGCACATATACTCGGCATTTAGACAACAATGAAATATACCGGTCTTAAAACCTAAAATGCTTATTAGGGAAGGCTTAGGCAGATGTTAGGGACTTGCTGTTCACATTTATAAGTTTGACTAATTCGAGGTTTAAACCAGATGTTTTTCATTAGATCTAATTGTTTTTTAGGCAAAACGGACCAATGAATATTGGAATTATAATTACAACAAATATTTCTGACTTGCATGCCGGCTGGGGTTATTTCAGAGCAATACATATTGTGCTTTTGGGTGCAAAAAGTGCTCGTTATTTTATTTGTAGAGGGCATTAGTGATAAATGCCCCAAATTGATGCACAACCATCAAATAATATTTTGTGAGTATGTAAATGGGAGTAGCCGTCTAATTATGAAAGTGCGTTGCCTATGAACACAAATTTATTTAGGTTAACATTTTAAATGCTAGATTACCAGACTTTCCTGATGTTTTCACTTCTTTCATGCATACGTTAATGCATTCAGGCCACATGCTCTTCCAAGACATGTGCTTACGCACTTGTAATCTCTTGTAGGGAAAGGTGTTGATGGTGAATTTACCTCGGACAACGCCGATGAAGGCGTATTTGAACCACTGCCATCCAAAAGACGAATTCGGGGAATGCGAATAGGATAAGTACTGTTTTTGAAGAATGTGGATAATCCCCAATTGTATGCCGTCTACCCTTAATAAAAGGAGTGAATATGATATTTGCTTTTTATCGTTTCTTGCCTCTTAGATGTGCATAACTGGCAAGCGCCTCATGTCAGGACGAGTTTTGCGTACTGTTGTCCGAGATTTCTCTAACCAGTACTTTTTTATCTCACTGGAAAATCTAAAGTAGTTAATTACTTTGCGAAGACATGAAACCGAATGATTTGTGTTACAGTAGGTGCCGTACTTACCAAACCCTTCGGAAGTATTAAAATACAAATGCGATTATTCTGCTCTTTGCAAGTAAGTTACTAACAGTTAGTTTTGTTGATTTTGGCTTTTTACTAACCTTAGAAATTAACTGCGAACTTGGAGAAGGTCAGTATATTTTAGGATTTATAGGCGCAGACTGAAATTCGATGTATGCATATCAGGGCCGAAAGTCATTAGCCACAACGGAATGACCGCGTAATATTAATAAACTGCCGACAGGCAGCTAAGTGTATATTTTAAGGTTTCAGATACCTTATTAACAGCACAGATTCTCGCTAAAAGCACAAAAAGGCGTATTTCGCCGATATTCTGCAGCTGCATGGCACAGCTTCGATTAGTTCGGCTTTTCAGTGGGTCCCCCAAAATAACCCGTCGACTTTCTACTGAAAGTGTCATAAGGAGTACGAAGAACTGATAAAAATCCCACCCTTGCAAGTCAAAAATAGCTTATTTTCGGAGCTGTAAGGATCTAGGAGTAACTTGGTAGCAAGTATTTGTGCAGATGATGATTCCTTCGTACCGTCACACCCGCTGACCGCCTAGACCGGTGGGCTAAAATCGATGAGGATATTGGGTGTTATGTGTATCTTCATACCAGTAAATCTGCGTATGGACCGGCCTCGTCGGACCTCATGAGACTCTACACAACGGCAACAACCTGAAAAGTTTATTTGCCATCTCAAAAACCGCCTTTATTGCCACCCCTGAAAACACTATAAACAAATTCATGCGCAAGTCACCGTCCTTGGCCCACCAAACTGTGGGGCATTCGACGAACGTCGTCGATGGCGACGGTCGGACTGTCGTCTACTGGAACCTCCTGAATATACTTCCTGCGCTTAGAGTCAACTGAGGTATCGAAATTATAAAGTGCAACAAAATCTAAGTCTAGCCAAACAAAGTTCGCAGAAGGCGCAAGCACAAATTAAACCGACCCGGATCTTTTAGCCGTCTTCTAATCATACTTCGTGTTTCATACTACACGCTAACCTCCTGAAACCACTGACTGAAATTCAGAACCAGAGCATTCAGTCAATAATATCCCGCCATTGTCACAAGTGAATAAAATAATAATAATTTTTATTTAATGCCAGTTTACAGGCATTGTCAAGGGAAGAGTTAAACACAAATCCGACCAGCAGTGAAAAAATATCATCATTTATTGTATATCATTTGAAATTCCATGTATGAACGGCATTCATTTGGCCGAGTTCAAATGCAGATAACGTAATTCCGATCATTTTTTCTCAGAAAGACAGATCTGCTTTGATAAAATCGGCAAGTCGTTTTAAATTCCTAGAAATGTAACTACTTAAATACCCACGAAAACCCGCTTTGTCGGCTTCAGCAAAGACAGCCCTTTTCAACAGAGCCACCAAATGGTTAAGGCATTCGGTTAAATCACCTCTCACAAAAACCAAAATAACCCATTTTTACGGTGCATAAAGGCGAAGATTTCCAAAGCCATCCAGTTAGCACTTTGTTGTAGATCAGCACGCCTTTATGGCTTTCCTACTACTAGGGACGCTCCTTTACTCAGCCTTATTCGCAATTGTGAGATAAGGAACAGTAAAAATAGAGAATATGAGTGCTCTGGTGTAAAATAACATGATGGAGAATAAGGCATTGATTGTCCCGATAAGTATAAAAATAAGCGAACACTTAGAGCTAATCGCAGCTGACTGCCTTTAAAAAAGGTTTTGCATTTTTCACTTACCATCTGTCTTTGTGCGAGTAACCAACTTAGACGGACCACACTAAGTACTGCGGGGTCAAGTGTCAGAGTTCAAAGGTTAAAGTTTACCGCGTGGGAGCTTCTCTCTAGAGTGAGCCGGCATATGTGCGTCAATTTCACAGACGCAGATAAATGAACTTATTCCAGATGCAAAAAGTCAAATGACTGAAGAAAGAATCCGAAAATTTCACTGAACGAGTGGCTGCAAAATACCATGATTAAGCCAGATTAACGAAATTCTCAAAGTAATCCTGAGGATTATTTTACGCCGTCTCGACATCAACAGATAAAATAAAGACTCGAAAAGACCTTTTTCGTCAAGGAAATGTCCAATGTATAGCAAATAATTTGCACAGGAGAGACAAAGGATCCCACTCGTTATTAACTAAAGACCATAAGTCCTCCGCGCAGAAGTTTACCTCGGTGTATGCCTATTGCATGCCCGGCTCTAATTGCATGCTCCTTAAACCTGTTGTTTTTAAAGTTTGATAGTCTCTAATATATCCCCTCTTGCGTTTGCGTGTTTGAGAAATCAATTGCAGGCTGCGTTACTGTTTGTCCAATAACCCAATGTTTCCTATGACTGGGAATATTTTTATATTCCTACCGTTGGATGGTAATTCTTCTATAGCAGTCTGTTTCAGAACCGCTTTCTTTGTCCTCGTTTTGTCGTAAATGTTCGTTTTACGGAAGAAGGGTACTGGTTGATCACCGAAACCAATTTTTTATTTGTCTGAGCTTTCGAAGTCGTGCAAGGTTTCACAGTCTGAGATAAAAGCAACAAGGGAAGGAGTGAGAGCCATAGGGGAGGGGAGTGCTAACCAATCGGCGATCTGTGAGGCAGGTCCAGTGTTGGTCACGCTGGGCCCTGTATGGGACGTCATCGGCCGACTGGGTTATTATTCAAGGTTCAGGTTTAAATCACTTTTTTGACTATCCCTCATTCCAGCGTGGGCAATCATCTTGGCGTCTGCAACGCCAAACTCTAGACCCGTTTTTAAGGCGTAGGCGGCTACTTACGATTATTCGTCCATTCGTCGCATAGCATCAGTGAATTCGCGCTCCAGACATACGTCAGTCTAACCCGTGTAATTACGAGGGAAGTTTAGGCATATAGAGCTCAGATAAATAAACATCTAGTTCTGATTCTCGATCAAACGTCTTCTTCCTTACTAGGGCATACGCCTTGGATTCGAACATTCACCCCATTTGTGTTAGTTGCGCTTTTAAATTATTTCTGCTAATATTTTTTCCTAGAGCCACTGTGAGGAAGAAGACACGATCGCTGGGACAGGAAATTTATTCGCCTGACCTTTCGGATTCCTGCTCGTCAGAGACGAATTTTCCCAACGCCAGGGTCGGTTAGTCAGATGGTCGAGCAGTCATCACACCAACATACAACACCCGTGATGAGAATGCGTCAATTAACGATGCGAAATTCGGCCACCGAACAGTTTGTCACACCAATTGCAACGATCCCTGATGAAGGGGGGGGACTGTGAATATTCATAGGTATGCGGTTGCATGGCGGCTGCAGCCTATAAATACTGCAGCCCTCGTGCATGAATTACCCATATGTTTATATCTTTGATGACGGGTTCGAGCAGGATTTCGATACGTCCGGTGAGTAAAGCTGTTGTTCCGGCGATCGTGCCTCCTTCTTCACGCCAGCTTCCTGGAATCGTCTCTTCGCTTCTATTGACAATTAATCACTACTTGCAGAATTTCACCGAAACAATGTTTCTTTATCTCGTTGTTCTTTCCTATATGCTCCATTTTTAGGTCTTCTACCCTCACATAACAAGATTTTCCTCTACATTATGACAAGTTAAGTTTGTAAAGAAACCTAATCATCATTCAGACGTCCTCAGTTTTAAGCATTTTGCTCCGCTGGCAAACTTTAAAGATTGTTGAGAGGTAAACCCATCAGAGGTAAAAAAGAAGAGGCCAGCGTGGAAATGTTGTTATTCTCAGAAAGGTGAAACATCAGCATTTGCTCTTTTCAATACAAGTGACAAGGTGTGTCCAATGGAGTAGTTATGGTTAAATGGTGCGAAGCACTGAGGCGAGAAAGTTATTTGCTAAATGCTTCTAATTTAACCTGAAAACTATCAACAGACGCACATAGGGCATACCCGAAGGGCGTTGCATTTATGCGTGGAACGTGTTAACCGACCAACTGTCTTATTAATGTTACCAATTCACGAATGGATGGTCACCGCTTGCAAATGGACGATAACTGCTTTGCCTGAAGATTTTTGACTGCAAGAAAAATCATGTTGCTGTCTTAAAATTATCGCACATTTAAACCTTGTGAAGCCAGACTACGCTTTTTCTGTAACTAAACCAATTTGAGAAGGGGCGCTTTCTCAAATAAGCTGTATAGGAAGGGAATATCTGCACTAATCGTCTCTATGAAGCATTAGTACCTTGTTATAGGAATCAAAAATTACCGAAAAACACACCGTTCACTACTAAAGTGTGCCTAGGATAGTGCAGGTTTTGAAATTAAAGCTATGGGACGTTGTGAGACGTTTTGCATAAGTATTCGGACGGAGCATCGTACTTAGACTTAGTAATGTGAATTTGCTTAAATCAATATTTTGCGAGTAAAACCTTCCATGGAGAAGGTGAACATATCTATTTATTTGCCATGCTTAGAGCATGGAAACTAGCAAATAGTTCAGACACGCGTTTCGGAGTTTCTGCTCATCAATGTATAGCTCAGAGTTGCCTATATACTTTCCTGTGTATACTATAATTTTCAGTGTTGAGTGTTCTACGTTTTTCAAAAATTTGCGCACAAACGTAAAATGAGTTTCGCAATGCAAGCACTTTTACATTCAGCTTGGAAGATGACAGGATTATATGAGTTGAAATCTATCAGTTTCAAAGGAGCAGACAAAGATATAGTATAGGGTTGCGCTTATCGATCGTTCTTATGAAACTTACTCGTCCCATTGTGCCTTACGGA